TTCAAAAAATTAGTATTGTCAAATTAAACTTAAGTGTACAACTCAAAGTGCAGTTGCTTAGTTAGTATAGGGATTTAAACTAAACTGAAAATAAATTAGTTTTAAAATATGTGTAAATTAATTCAAAAACAATCTGACCATTAAAAAAAAAAAAAAAAACCAATTAGTGTACATGTACATTTGACCCAAGTGGTAAGGGTAAGGGTAAATCGTGTGACACCCGGTTCCTGGATTCTAGCTTAGGCGATTGACTTCTTTTTCCCTCCTCATGGTTGGAAATGTTGTAATATGCCTGCATTCTTTTGAAAATATATATGTATGTTTCGGTTCAAATAATAGCGTCTCAGATCTGAAGAAGTATGCTAATCAGATCTCATTCCCTCTGTTGTTGTTGTTTTTTTTTTCTTTTTGGCCTTAAGGTAATTGTGGACTTGTAGTGGGTTGGTTTAAGTTCTTTATATAGATATTTTTGTGGTTGGTGGTATGGTTTTTGCCTTTGGTTTTTTTTTTTTTTTTTTTTTTTTAAGGGTAATGGTTAATAGGTTAGTATTGTTTGATGTTAGCAACTGGAGATTCAATTCCTAAATTTGGTGAACAACTCACCGACCTTAATGAGGCGCGCGACCATTAAAGCCACTTGGTGGAGTTCGATTTTTGCCATTGTTGAATTCGATTTACATGTAACATTATCACAGCCACCACGCACCGAGTGTGTTTTCTTGTGAGTTAGGAAAAATCAACATCTCTTGTGAGTTATACATAGACTTTCTTCGATGTGAGAAGACCGGAGTTTACTTATGCTAGGAACATGCATTTGTTTCTCCAGTCATGGCCTAATCAAAGCAAGTCTACAAATGGCACTAGCAGCTTTATTGGGCTGACAATATGCATTAAACACTGTCAACGACTTAAGTTGTTTAATAATCATCTCCTTTCGTTGGAAATAAGAGGTTCTGAGTTCGAGTCGCATGATATGTAGGTGAGATGGGATAAGAGACGTGAGATAATTGCCTCTCATTGTGGAAAAAAAAGCATTAAACACTTTGATCCATGTTAAATTTCAAATTCCTATTAAGACTTTCTCCTATTAAAAAAAAGAAAAGAAAAGAAAATGTTAATTCTACAAATGGGCCACATGCTTAAATTCTATTTCTCTGGACTGGACCACAATGGGCTATTACAAATGTTTTTTTTTTTTTTGGTGAAATTAATTGCTTAGCGATGGGTTCGAAGCAATAATGATTCAAGTAATTTAGTAATAATTTTCTTTTAATGAAAATAACATATTTTAATTCAAGTTGCATAACATATAAGTAAGTTAAATGATGAGGAATGATTGTATTTTATTGTACAATTCAAGATTAAAAGAAAAAAAGTTTGAAGTCAATTTGATGTACCACAAAACTTAAGGTTTTAATTTCTAACCTTTTACATTAAGAATCAATTCAGCTTGTGTTTTTTGAAACCCAAATTAAATAGTTCTCAACATATTTGTACCCACCAATAAGAGTTCTAAATGCATCCTCGGCGGACCTAATTCGATTGTTTGAGTGTGATTAGGATCCAACTAAAACAATAAAAGTGTATTAGACCTAATTATACAAGGCATAGAGGGTTGAGAACCAAATGTGGTATGCATTCCTCCATTTCTTTTATCATATCCTTTTCTTCTTTTGACATTATAGGTGAAAGGTGTCCAAAATATAAGCTAATATTAGGTGATCAATTACTT